GCTCCCTGAGGCTGGCTGTTGCCACGACTTAAAATAATAATAATAATAACAGACCAAACATCAACAGTCACACCGCCCCCCTCTCAGCTAAGGTGCACCCCTTAAAATCTGAAAACCTAGGGAAATGGGGAGAAGCACTGAATATGTAAATCAGACCACGCCCCAGAGCCCTCCCACCACACCCTCGTGCCGCAATCCTCCCTCCACGGGAGCCTTCAGCAGGTTCCTCTCCCGGCGCTTTAATAACCCGTCTCCCTCCAAACGCCGTCTGAACTGCTCAGCGATGCACTGCCTCGCCTTTGCAGAGGGTCTTCTAAGCTCTTTTTTAACAAAGAAGTTAAGCCGTTGTCGGCCATGTTTGCTGCAATCTAGTTCCCAGGCCCTGTGTTATTTCTGCCTTTTCATTTGCTGGTTTAATTTTGACGCCAGGAGAAGATTTCCATTTTCATTCCGTCAAATCTGCCCACGTTCTCTCCCCGGCTCCCGTATTAGTTCTAAACTTGGGAAATCTTCCTTCTCCCGCAGCACAAGAACATTACATTTTACTGAATTCTCGCTTTTGGGGGGTCTTGATTTTTTAAAAATATACTTACTGCTTATCCTGAAAGAATCCAGGGCTGAGCCCTGCCCCCCTACCCCCCGCCTCCGCAGAGGAGGGGCTCCTTGGGCCGCCCCCCGCAGCTCGCCCTGTGTGTCCAGGCCTCTCAGCCTCCCCACGCCACACGCCCTCCCTGGCCCCCGCCCCCTGTCCCTCCGTCCCAGGGTCTTTCAAGTCCTCTCCTGCCCGAGGCCATCAGAGCCTCTCCCCTTCCCCTGACCCCCATCACCCCCGGCCCCACCCCGGCCATCTTAGCCCCGAGCTGCCCAGACCAGAGTGTGGACCGTGTAGGGTGCAGTTCCCGGTTCCTGGTTCCCGGTTCCCGGTTCCCGCGGCTTCAGGACAGCTTCGGCGGCCTCCCAGTCCAGGCCGGCGCCGGTGCCGTGTTGTCAATGAATAAACAGGCACAGAGGACAGGCAGCCTCCACGGTCACCAGGGCGTGCGTGGGGCCCTGGTGGACAGGCCCAGGCTCCGCCCATTCACCACGCATGATGTTCCTGGCGCTGGTCAGGCCCAGCACCGGGGCCTTTGTTGGCCTGGACGGGGGAGGAGATCAATGTTTTGGGGGTGCAGTGGGCCTGGGGGTGCTGCGACCACACCATCACACCTCTCATGGGGGAGGTGGGAGGTGGGGGAGGCCTGGCCTGCGCCCCTCAACCCCAGATCTCCCTCCTTTAACATGGAGGCCAGGGCTGCGTGGCCGATCTGCCCCCCCCACCCGTCTTGGGCCTGCGTTCTGTTCCCTGTGCTAAGGGGCTCCCTGAACCCAGCCCCTCACCCTCCTGGCTCTGTCTTCCCAGCAGAGCCCACAGGGGAATAAAAGCCAAAGGAACAGAAAATGGCTCACTGGTGGGGGCAGAAACGGCCCGCGCAGACAGGACGGGCGGCTGGAGCACGAGGGGCCTGGAGAGGGGTCCGCACACGGTGTGAGGCGGGCAGCTGGGCCCGTCAGGGAGCAGGAGGGGAGGGAGCCCGGGGCCTGGAGGGCCTGGCGCAGGGGGGACGCACTGGGAGGCTCAGGTCTGGAGGCGGCAGGATGCACCTCGCAGGGCATTTGGCCTCCCGCGGATTGATGGGCTCCGAGAGGCCCGCCAGGTGCGGAGCCTTCAGCCTATTAATCTCCCGGTTAATCACGCAGGACACTTGGCAATTATCGCACTCAGCCCCCTCACGGGCGGGCCGGGCTATCACTCACGCGCAGGTGGGAGCGGGCGCCAGCAGCAGCCTGGGCCTGGCTCCAGGAGGCACCTGGCCGGCTCCGCCGCCCTCCACGCCTCCTGGGGCGGGTCTCTGGC